AACATTTGTTTTACTTCTTTTTTGGATAGAGGTGAAGAAGGCAAAAGCTCAGTTAGATTTTTCATTCAGTTGTCTGAATTTCTCTGGAATATTTGAAAGACTTGGTGTATCTCCTTCAGGTTTCTTGATAGCCACTGAAACTGGTAGTAGCAAATTGACTGCTCATTGAACTCAAACCCAGAATACATGGTTGTCAAGAATCTGCTTCCAGATGTTCATGGGAATAATCTGAGATACCGTGTCATCTATTGAAGCACACTGCAAACAGTTCTTTGTGCACAGCAAACTATGTCAACACTTTGTAGCTGAGCTCCATCTAGTTTCTCCTGGCAATAAAAGTGCCCTTCCCTTCCCCTGCTTCTCTTTCTGTAATTTCTTCAGAGTCTGATTAGCAACATGGTGATTGTTGAATACCTTCACAATTGCTTTGCAGTTTGCCAATATTGTCTTCACTGTATTCACACTTACTATGTCCTTTGCCAGAAGATTCAACCCATGAGCAAAACAGCCAAACACTATTAAATGAGAATACTTTGCCTTTAATATTTGCCATGCAGCTTTCATGTTACTCGTATTATCAGTTACAACGGCTTGTATCCTGGAGGGACCTGCACTTTCAATCCCTTCACTCAATAATTTGGCTATGTATTCACCTGTATGACGAGAAGATTTGGTAGCAATTGCTTTCAGGAATATTGGTTCTGGTGCTGCTAACATAATGTTCAATAAAGGATTTCCTTGTATATCAGTCCATCCATCTGACATCAGAGTCACTGATTCTGCTTGACCAATCCTTTGAATAACCATTGTTTAAACTCTGTCATACTCTCTATCTAAGAGAGAATGTGGTAAGCAATAATGTGACAGTAACTTATATGATGGGCGAATTAGTTTGTAATGTTCCTTCCAGTATTGATTTTCAGTTATGGAAAGAAGTATACCACTTGCAAATATAGCTCGAGCTAATGTCTCATCTGCTTTTTCTTGATCTTCTTTTGACATTTTGTCCACAAACCTTGATAAAAAGCTTGACTGTCTTGAACAGCTACTCATGGTGGATCGCATATCTGGTGACAGTGACCTTGAAAGTGAGGATTCTGCTTCTTCCTCCAGACCTGGCAGCTCAACATTTTTATTTTCCATTTTTTGCAGATCTGCTATTTCATTTGAGCTACCAGGTTCCTGCAACAAAAGGGGGAAAAGATTTTTATTTTAGCTGTTCCAGGGGGACACAAGTGGAGACCCCGGAGCACCCGCCTGCAGCAGGACCCGAGGCAGGGCTGATCTGCCCGAAGAAGGAACAGGAAAGCCCTGAAAATGGGGTGTGCTTACCATTTTCAGGAGTAACAGAGCCACACCAAGATGAACCGCTCACGTGGTTTGTCAGCCACTTTTATTTCCGGCTGGGAATGGTGCCAGCCAATGATGCAATCAAGAATCACCACCCAGCTGATTTAAAACCAGAGATGGCGAGATGGAGATGGGGGCAGCAATGACACAGCCAGACAGCAAGGCTGCTCCCTGGGCTGCACCTAGGCACCGGCAGCTCAGCAGGGGGCCAGACAGAGACCCACTGGAAAGGTCCCGGCTTCATTAAGAGGACCAAGCACATTAAGAGGAGTCAAGAGGTACAGCATCAAGGGACCTTGAGGGCCACAGACACTGGATCCATGAGTGGGGTGGACTGAGGCCCCATGCTGCAATTATTCTTTTCTTTTCTTTCTTTTTGTGTTGTTGTTGTGTTGGAGGTTGTACAGAGCCCAAGCTGGGGAGTGAGCTTCTGAGTCACCCTCTGGGTCAAGAAGGGAAAGCTGAGGCAGCCCAGAGGATTGCTATGCCTCAAGTGGAGAGGGAACACCATGACAAGGACGGTCCTGAGTCCCATAGTCACACAGGGTGGAGGAACAGAGAAGACAAGCAGGGAGAGAAGAGGACAGGTGACAACATCGAGGGGCTGGCTGGCAACTCGTCTTCTGGCCATCCTAAAGGCTGGCTCATGCCTGGGGTGTAGGGGAGGTGGAGCCCCAAGAACACCCGCCAAGGGCAGCACCCAGCCTGCAAGGAACCCCGAGGAGGAACCCCACCACTGAAGAAAAAAAGACCAAGTCGTGGCAGGAGAGTGTCTGGGCCTCCCTCAGGGGTGAACATGACCCCACGCTCAGGGCCTCAAGGACACCCTGTGGCCAGCACTGGGTGTGTTCTCTAAGGCCGCTAGGGAGCACCTATATGAGGCCGGGTGGGTGCAAGCCTATTCTAGTCTGGTGTCATTCAACAGAGAAGTGGCAAGGAGCTTGTTCCCCCCCTCCCTGCCAGAAAGAACACTCTGCTGCTCAGCTTGCTGCTCAGTTGTCCCAGGACTGCAGAGCCAAAGGGAAGTGTAGTCTGGCCTCTGCTGTCATTTGATCTCATAAGGATAATGGACCTGGTGGGACTCCTCCTATGACTGGACTATGGTTATAAATGGCTATATCTTGTACAAGAGAGATCATGCTGAAAAAAGAGGCAGGAGTGTAGCTCTTTATGTGAAGGAGAGCGACACATCCCTACAAGCTAAGATTGGCACCCAAGGAGGATGATTGGAGACCCTTTGGGTTACAATACAAAGGGAACATGACAAAGGGGATACAATGATAGGAGTCTACTACAGACCTCCAAATCAGGAACAAGAGCTTGACTAAAAATTCGCCAGGGAACTGGCCAAGGCTGCACACTCTCAGTGCATGGTTTGCATGGGAGACTTCAACTACTTGGACATCTCATGCGAAGAGCACTCAGCCAAATCTGATCAGTCTCAAAGCTTCCTTATGTGTGTGGATAAGCTCTACCTGTCTCAAGACATTTATGGGCTGGCAAGAGGTAAGGCGCTGCTGGACCTGGTACTGGCCAAAGGGGATGATCTAATCAGGGACCTAAGAATCGAAGGGAAGCTGGGTGACAGTGACCATGAGTTGATCACTTTCACAATCCATCGCAAAGCTAGCAAGTCAGCCAGCAATGCAGTAGTTCTCGACTTTAGGAAACCTGACTTTCATAAGCTCAGGAGACTTGTTCTTGAGGCCAAGAGAGACCATGATTTCACAGGGAGGGGAGTTCATGATGAGTGGTTGCTCCTTAAGGAAGTGATCCTAGGGGAGTCCATCCCAACCCATAGAAAAGGTGGTAAAAGGGCTTGTGGTGGCTGGGGACAGTCCCTGGAACTGGAAGTGCTGGGGTCTGGCCCTGATGCTCTCAAAGGGGGACCCTGGGACCCCAACACCAGAGGGAACTTAGCTGGGAGGGAGGCAGAGACAGGATGGAAGCTGCACAAGCTGGCACTGCGCCGGCTTTTCATACAGCTATCAGTCAAACTAGGCGGCAGCTGGCTGATGATGTCAGCTGCAGCTGCTGCTGCAGGGAGTTTAAAAACCCCAGCAGAAGCCAGGTGCGGAAAGGCAGCTGGGAGGCAGGACACGAAGCTTGCCGGGCTGCAACCCAGCAGCATGAGTTCCTCTCCTTCCACATGACACAGCTCCACTGGGAGCGAGCGGAGGCATTGTGAGGGGGCCAGTCAGTAAGCCCCTATGCAGAACTCCCCGGTGAGGGGGTTGGGCACCCCCCCCCCGGTGGCCCTGGAAGGGCCCGACCATCTTTGAACCTGCAAAGGGCCTGACAGGCCCAGGTCCGATGCAGGGCCAAAGCCAGGCTACGAATAAGGGGCAAGTGGCAGGTGGTCCCGGAAGCCTGCAGCATACTTTTGATCAGCGGCCTGGTGGCCCACCAAGAGGCCATAAGAGAACGGAGCTATGGGTTGGAGCAGCAATGCAACACCCTTCATGGTTGGCAAGAGAACTGGGGTGTAGGGGAGGCAGAGCTCCAGGACTACCCACATCGATCCCATGAGTATTACCATTCCTGGGCCTGGGTAGGAACACCACTGAACTCTTCCTTTCAGAGTCGTACCCATCAAGATGTGGCAGGTGAGGTGGGGCCTGGCCCGAGGATTGTGGGGAATACTTACAACACCAACAGGGGGCGTCACAGGGCTCAACAACCCTGTTGGCTCAAGGGGGAACTCATGGACCTCCTACGTCTAAAAAGAGACGCTTATAAAGGATGGAAGGCAGGAAACACCACTAAGGAAGAGTATTCTCCACTGGTCTGTACCTGCAGGGAGCGAACTAGGAAAGCCAAGGCTGCAACCGAACTCCAACTGGCTACATGAATCAAGGACAATAAAAAGTCCTTCTTCAGATATGTGGGAAGTCAAAAGAAAAACAAGGGCAATGTTGGACCCCAGTACACCAGTTGGGGCAGCTGACTACCAACACCCAGGAAAAAGCCAGTCTGCTTAATGATTACTTTGCATCAGTTTTTCATCAGCCCAAAGGGACCATCCTGCCTAACATGATGCAGGATGACCAAGGTAAGGATGAATATATGCCCACTATTGGTGTGGATCTTGTGAGGGAGCATCTTGAGAGACTGGACCCCCACAAATCAGATGGTCCAGATAGATTGTATCCAAGAGTGCTAAACGAATTGGCAGACATAATAACACAGCTACTGGCAAGGATATTCAAGAACTTGTGGCGCTCAGGCAAAGTACCTGAAGTTTGGAAGAGGGCCTATGTAGTGCCTATTTTCAAGAAAGGGAGGAAAGAAGACCCAGAAAACTACAGGCCAATCAGTTTGACCTCAATCCCTGGGAAGATCCTGGAAAAAATTCCCAAAGAGAACATTATCAACAGGCTAACAGAGGGCAACATTCTGAGGGATGGCCAGCATGGGTTTGTTGCAGGTAGGTCTTGCCTGACTAACCTAATTTCCTTCTCTGACCAGGTGATGTATCACCTGGACAAAAGGGAAGAGGTTAATATCATATATTTGGACTTTAAAAAAGCCTTTGACCTGGTGTCCCATGATGTCCTCATGGAAAAAGTGGGCAACTGTAGCCTTGACTACTCCACAGTCCGATGGGTGGGGAACTGGCTCCGAGGTCAGACCCAGAGAGTGGTAGTTGATGGAATCGAATCAACAAGGCACTCAGTGAGTGACCAGTGGTGCCCCCAGGGCTCCGTTCTTGAACTTCTACTTTTTAATGTCTTCACAAATGATCTGGACACTGGTGTCAGAAGAAGACTGGCTAAGTTTGCTGACAACATCAAACTTCGGGGAAGAGTATCCACCCTTGAGGATAGGCTGGTGATTCAGGCCAACCTCAATAGGCTTGCAAGGTGGACGGATTAAAACCTGATGGCATTCAATATGGAGAAATTCAAGGTGCTTCATCTCAGGGGAAAAAAACCCACATCACGTTTATAGGCTCGGCAGTGCTATGCTTGCTAGCACCACAGCTGAAAGAGGCTTTGGGGTCATAATTGACCACAAGATGAACATGAGCCAACAATGCGATACCACAGCTGGCAAAGCAAACAAAACTTTGGCTTGCATCTACTGATGCATCTCGAGCAAGACCCAGGATGTCATCCTCCCACCATACTTGGCCTTGGTGAAGCCGCAGCTCGAGTACTGCATACAATTCTGGGCTCCACAATTCAGGAAGGATGTGGTGAAGTTTGAAAGTGACCAGAGGAGAGCCACACACATGATCAGAGGACAAGAGAACCAGCCTTATGAAGAGAGGCTGTGAGCTATGGGACTCTTCAGCCTGGAGAAGCGCAGGCTCAGGAGTGATTTGGTGGCAGCCTATAAGTACGTAAGTGGTGTGCATCGGGATCTGGTGGAATGCTGGTTCACCTGAGCACCCCAGGGGATGACAAGGTCCAACAGTCACAAACTCCTGCAAGACTGTTTTAGGCTGGACATAAGGAAAAACTTTGCTGTCCAAGCCCCCAAGGCCTGGAACAGACTCCCCACAGAGGTGGTACAAACACTTAACTGTGGGCACTTTTAAGAAATATTTGAACATTTATCTTGCTGGGATCCTTTGACCCTAGCTGACTTCCTTCCCCTTGGGCAGGGGCCTGGACGTGATGATCTTACAAGGTTCCTTCCACCCCTGATGTCTATGAAACCTATGAAACGTCCAGAGGACTAAGCTCGCTTTGCTGGGTTGAAATAGTTAACTATTTACCTATTATGTAATTTAAAAAATATATATTGTTAAGCCTAAGCCACTTTGAGTGCTTAGTGCAAGCAGAAAAGCAGGATACAAATATTTTAAATAATAAATAAATAATAGTCCAGAGTTGTATTAACAACTTTTAAAGTTATAATGTTTTAAAACAATATAGATGCTAGTCTATACCATGTGTTGTGTAACATATTAATTTGTTTACTTACATAGGATTCCTGAAGTAGACTTTTCTCATGAAGTTGTTCCACCACTTCGTTGCATTAGCTTTCTGTATATGGTGTGTAGTCTTTCAGGACAGTTTCTACATGCTATTAAATGTTTCTTGATTCTTGTTGTGTTGTTAGCATACTCTTGTCTGCAATATTTACATCTACCAACTTTCTTCCTTCCTTCACTGGCTTGAACTTCACTATAATGAAGCCACACACAACTTTTTTTCTGATTAGGCATTATTATGACTACTTCAAAGCAAAAGCACTAAAAAAATAACAGATCTTACGCAAACACTTCCAACTTCCCCACCTCAAGAAAAGAAATGAGACACTGCTCTGTGTGTTTGCTCAACTGAATGTGAAACAAAAATTAATCAGTTTTAGTTTTGGTTTTGCTTTCACTTGCCGTCTGAAATGAAATAAGTATTTAAGGTTTGGTTTTGATTTCACCTGCACAGCCAATTAAGTGAATTCATAACCTGATTTTTGATTTGGATGATTATATGAGTGTATTTACCCTCCTTTTTTCAAAGCAATTAAACATATATGTACTCTCTCACACACTTCCTAGAGATAATCACCTGAAAAATATTAATTACAAGTTTGAAACTGCCAATTTCAATTGCCTAATATTGTATTGGCATCCATTCATTGTTACTAATTAATTTTATGAAACAATAATTTTTAGAAATGGAAAATTTCCCACAGAAAAATAAAGCACTGGAAAATTTTCCATTTCGGAAAAAATTCTGCCCCACATCTCAGCATGAAGAGCTGCATCCAGCTAATAAGTCTGGTGTGGTGGAAGGGGAAGGAAGGGGTATGGGAGGGGCAAATCAAAGCCCCTGCAGTGAGGGAGGGAATGGGGCTGGGGCAGGGGCAGGCACTGACCAGCTGGGGTGGGGAGGGGCACAGGACAGAGCTGCAAGTGGCTCATCCAGGGGGCAGAGGAGCATGTGCCCCCTGGTTCTGTGCGGCCCGGGGTGGGCTGCAACTGTGGACTGGGGCTGGAGCCAGGGTGGGCATGGGACAGCTGTGGCTCATTGGGGGGTGGGGCATGGGAAGTGGGGGTGGCTCCTGGTGCTGCATGTGGCTCGTCCGGTGTTCATCTGGTGGCTCCCACGGCTGCTCCTGCTCCTTGTCTGGGAGGGCATGTGAGGGAGGGGAGGCGTGCCCCCGGATCTGCCCAGCTGGGAAGAGCCCAGCCCCAGCCCACCCTGCCCAGATTCGGGGACACATGCCCTCTACCCTTCCCCTCCCCA